CAGTTAAGCATCTGACTCTGCTCAGGTCATGATTTCATGGTTGGTGAGCTCAAGCCCCACTTCAGGTGAGTGTGAACCCTGCTTTGGGTGACCAGGAATCCCGTTTCTCTCTCTCTCCCCCACCCCTCCCCTTGTGGGATTCTCACCCCTCTCTGCCCCTCGCCACTTTCTCTCAAAAAAAAAAAAATTATTTTCCCATTTGCAACTATGTGGATGGAACTAGAGGGTATTATGTTAAATGAAATTAGTCACAGAAAGACAAATATCACATGATTTCACTCATATGAGGACTTTAAGACACAGAACAGATGAACACGAGGGAAGGGAAGCAAAAATAATATAAAAACAGGGAGGGGGACAAAACATAAGAGACTCTTAAATATGGAGAACAAACAGAGGGTTACTTAGAGGGGTTGTGGGAGGGGGGATGGGCTAAATGGGTAAGGGACATACTCTTGAAATCATTGTTGCACTATATGCTAACTAACTCAGATGTAAATTTTAAAAAATGAAATAAAATAAATAAAAGCAAGTTAATATTTAAAAAATTTATTTTCAAATTTATTGTCATATAATTATCCATATAATACTTTTATTGGTAGTGGTATCCTCTTTTTTATTCCAGTTATTCATCATTTGTACTCAGTTTTTTCAAGCTCAGTCTTTCTAGGGTGGGTTATTATATTTGTATCTTTTTCTTTTTTTTTTTTTTTTTTTGGCTATTCCTTTAACTTTTTTCAGATTTCATTTACTGTTTTCTAATTTTTTAAATGGATGCCTAGCTCATTAAATTTATATTTTAATATTTAATATGTGCAAATAGGCTCTTAGTTTTCCTGAAAAGAAACTATCTGACAAAGTTTGATACATATTGTATATTTAATACCGTTTTGTTAAATATATGTCCCAATTTCTCTTGTGACTTTTTTCTCTGACTGATTGGTCATTTAGAATTATAATCCATAATTTCAAAGCAAATGGGTTTTTTATTTTTCTTTTCAACGTTTATTTATCATTATTTTTTTTGGGGGGGGGACAGAGAGAGACAGAGCATGAATGGGGGAGGGCAGAGAGAGAGGGAGACACAGAATCGGAAACAGGCTCCAGGCTCTGAGCCATCAGCCCAGAGCCTGATGCGGGGCTCGAACTCACGGACCGCGAGATCGTGACCTGGCTGAAGTCGGACGCTTAACCGACTGCACCACCCAGGCACCCCGCAAATGGGTTTTTTTAAAAAGAACTTTCTTCTTATTTTTAATTATGATGTAATTAAATTCTATATGAGCTATGGTTTTGAAATTTGTTATTACTTGCTTTATGGCTCAGAATATGATCCATAGTTTTAAATGCTGTGAGTGTCCTTGAAAAGACTATAGTTGGTGAATACAGTTTTTTATATATGTCCATCAGGATAAATATGTTAATAGTGATGTTCAAATTTTCTGTACCTTCCTGGGTTTTTTGACCATTTGTTCTATCAAATACTGAGAAAGGAATGTTAAAATGCCCTGATTAAGATTGTGGATTTGTTTATGTCTCCTATGTTTCTGTTGACTTTTGCAATATATAGTTTGAAATTTTGTTATTAGAAATATGTAAATTAAGAATTATTTTTATTTTCCTAATGTATCAAACTTTTTGTCATTTCATATTAACCCTTTTTATACATAGAAAAGCTTTTGGATTTAAAATTACTTTGTCTAATGATAATACGGCCTTCTTTTTGTTAATCTTTGTCAGATAAGCCCTTTTCATCTTTTCACATTGTTCTCTGGTATCTATATGTTTTTAGGTCTTATTTCTTATAAACATATTGTTGAGTTTTGTTTTTTTTTTTTAATTCTGTTGGATAATCTTTTTATTTTCAGTAAATTATTTTACTTTATTTACTTTTAATGTTAATATTGGTATATTTGAGTATGAAGCTTTCATCTTTCATTTTTATTTGTTCTGCCTGGCTTGGTTTCCTTTTGCCCTCCATGTTTGCCTTCTTTTAGATTGAGAGTTTTTATTCTTTCTTCATTTGGTTTGACAGTTATACATTTCTTTATTCTCATTTTAATGTTAGAGATTACAGCATGCATCTTTGACTTACCAGTATTTAATAGGGGTTGATTTTTTAATTATTTGCTTGGATGATACAAGGGTTTTTATTTTTAAAAATTTCCTTTTATTCCCTCCTTATATACTCTTGTTGTCATGTGTTATAATTATACCTGTTTATGAATCCCCTTAGACATCATCATTTTTCAATACAGTTAACATGCATTCATATTTACCCTGATATATGCCATTTTTGTTGCTCTTCATTCTTTTCTACTTCTTACCCTGTCATTAGGGCCATTTTTTTCCTTGTCTTTGGAGAACACTATTTATAGTCTTTTGTTTTTAGCAGTTAGTTCTGGTCTGTTGGTAACAAATGCTGTCAATTTCCTTTTAAGATTTTATCTTTTTTGGTTTTCAGCATTTTCACGTCATGTGCTTAGGTATAATTTTCTTCTATTTATCCAGTTTCAGGTTTTTGGATCTGTGGATAAGTGCTTTTTCATGGGATTCACTTAACTTGTCAGCTGTTATTTCTTCAGATACTGCTCCTGCATAATTCTTTCTCTTCTTTTCTTCTGGGGCTCTAGTAACATGCATTCTAGCCCTTCCTCCCTGTCTTCTCTGTCTTTTACCCTCTCTGCTGTGTTTGCCGCCTTTTGGTTTCCTTGTGCTTTATTCTGAACAATTTTTCTCACCTTTCTTCTGGCTTACTAATTTTTTTTCTTCAGGTTACCAAATCTGTTATCAAACGGTTATTCATTGAGCCTTTCGATTGAATTTTTTTTTTCAGGTCTAATTTTTTTTTTTTCTTGTTTGCTTGTTTTCAAATTTGTTAGGTCACATTTTAAGGTTTCTACCTCTTCCAAAATATCCGTCTTGTCTTTAGTTTCATGATCATGGCAAGCATGGTAACTTACAAGTTCCTGTGAGCCTATTCCTATTCTTGTTTTTGTTGGTTCTTTTTGCATGATGCCTATCTCCTCTTGTACCTGGTTATCTTTGAGTATGCATATGAAATTATACTTGGAAATTAGCTTTTCATAAATAATTTGAAGCCTAGGATTACTTTTTTTTTTTTTATCAAGAAAGGACTTGGGGCGCCTGGGTGGCGCAGTCGGTTGAGTGTCCGACTTCAGCCAGGTCACGATCTCGCGGTCCGTGAGTTCGAGCCCCGCGTCAGGCTCTGGTCTGATGGCTCAGAGCCTGGAGCCTGCTTCCGATTCTGTGTCTCCCTCTCTCTCTGCCCCTCCCCCGTTCATGCTCTGTCTCTCTCTCTGTCTCAGAAATAAATAAATGTTAAAAAAAAAAATTTAAAAAAAAAAAAAGAAAGGACTTTTGTTTGCTTTGTCCAGTATTTGAAGGTTCTAGCAATCCAGAATTGCTTTAATCCAATTTTAGGGGTTGAGATTTTTCTGGGCCACTCAATTGACTTTAAGCTGGGTGGCAGTTTCTACAAAGGCTCACTTTTCCAGTTCACGCTTTCTTTGGGTTTCAGTTCTTCATGGTCCCATAAAAAGGCATAGCTGTTTATCAGGCCCTTCTGTTGGTAAGTTCAATGGGAAGCAGAATAATAACCTATCAAAGATGTCTCTGTCTTAATTCCTTGAACCTGAGAATGGGTAGTGTTATATGACAAAGGGAAATTAAGATTGCAAATATAATTAAGGTGGTTAATCAGCTGTCCTTGAGGTAGAGAGATTATTCCTAATTATCCTGAATTATTAGAGGTGAGTTTAGTGTCATCACAGGGGGCCTTCTAAGTGAAAGAGGGAGGCAGGAGAAAGAGTACACAGTGATGGAGTGTGAAAAGAACTTGGTTTCACTACTGCTGACTTGAAAATGGAAGGAAGCCATAAGTCAAGGAATATGGGCAGCTTCTGGAAGCTGTAAAAAGCATGGCAATGGATTTTCTCCTGAAACCTCCAGAAGAAACACAGCCCTGCTGAAGCTTTGTTTTTAGCTCAGTGATACCTGTTGTTTTTAGCTCAGTGATACCTGTTTCCAGCCTTTGACCTCCAGAACTGTAACATGTTACAGTGTATTGTTTTGAGCTACCAAGTTTGTGGTAACTTGTTATGGCAGCAATAGGAAAGTATTTCAGGTTTTTTTTTTATGTTTATTTATTTGTGAGAGAGACACAGAGTGTGAGTGGGGGAGGGGCAGAAAGAGAGGGAGACCCAGAATCTAAAGCAAGCTCCAGGCTCTGAGCTGTCAGCACAGAGCCTGACACAGGGCTCAAACTCACAAACCGTGAGATCATGACCTGGGCCAAAGTCAGACACTTAACCAACTGAGCTACCCAGGTGCCCCGTATTTAAGGTTCTAAACTCCAACATTCATTCCTCTAGTTATGCTCAGTTTCTCAACTACCTCTTTAAGAAACTCCCATACAAGAAAAGAGGCCCCAAAGACCAATCTCAAATCCCTGGACTTTTTGTCTTCACTAGATCTTGGTTTGACTATTCTTCACCTTCTTGTAAAATCTCTGGTACAAATCGCTGGTACCTTTGGGCATGTGTTTTTAATATGTCCCTAATGTTTCTTTTTCCCTTCAGCTTGATGTTTGGTCCCAATTGCCTAGTCCTTAATAATGGAGAATTTTTCCTTTTGAATCTGATGACTGAGCTAGTCTGGTTGTGCTTCAGAATTCACAATCCTGCTGCCATTTTGGTCTGACTCATTCTCAAGTTAGTGCAAGAGTTTCTTCACTGACTTGTTTTTTAAGTTCTCCATCCTGATTTTACTCTAACACTAGAATTATTACTTTTTTCCTACGTGGGTACCATTGGGACCTGACCTCAGAGGCCACTTCATTGTAGATGTCTCTCGTTCTTTCTGTGCCACCTAGTGAGAAGAGAGCACCTTATCTCCAGCTAGGATATCTGTCCAGTGATCCCCAAAACTTGACAGGTTTATACCCACAGCTCTGTCTTTGCTCACTCCTTCATACCCACCTGTCGTGATGGAAGAGGGAGAAGTTCATGGCTGTGAAGCAGACAGGTTGACTTGTAACCTGGCAGTGCAAATTAACTCAGCAGCATTGCTGTAGACATGTTTCATACAGTGGCACCTTGTTGGATTAAGTACAGATTCTTTACAGAGGGCTATTTTAAAATATAGCTCTCATTGAGGTTTTGAAGTTGGTTTCTATAAAACAACTCGTGTTGCTTTCTGTCTGCATAGCTTGTCCTTATATACTCTTAACACATTTGATAAAAGAAAAAGCAGGGCTCTGCTGGCAATCACAGCCCATGAAGGCAGCACGACGGAAGGAAAGGCTTTTGATTTTGAGAATTTAGGCTCAAACCCAGCACTCTGGGCCTTTGAATTTTGCTACCATCTAAACTAAAGCTTGGAGACTTTTTGACTATGAAACAGCAAGGAGGCAAGGGAACAAAGGATGAAAAGGCAGGGAAACTAAGGGCGGGGTTGCTCCTGCGTTTTCAAGTCTGAGTCAACAGGGCAAGGCTGGCTTTCTATTTTCACACAAAGAGAGGTCCACCTGATCCTTGTTCTTAGGACAGGAAAATTTGCAATTAGAAAAAAAAAGCATCCACCTAGATACCCCTTGATCAGTTTTTCTATGAGCTGTCAAAGGCTTTGAGCTTCCAAAGCCTCCTGTAAGGCCGGCTAAAGCCCTTATGCCCCTCCCATGGTCCTGGCCAGCTTGGTTTCCCTGGAGATAACTGCGACATCAGGAAGGAGTGTGGCCCTCACATAAACCATCAGGGCTGGACTACATGCCATCCAGTGCTTTGCTGCAGCTGCAGCACCAACATATTTAAGCATTTGTATATTCAGGACACATTAGATAATACAGTCACAACTATTGCAACTGTAAATTAAATATTTATTTAAATGTGTTTTCTGATCATTTGTATTTGGGCATAAACTCCCAGTGAGACAAAAGTTTACTTTGATTTAAGGCTCCTTACATGTTTGATGTCTTCTGCAACCAGTACCAGAATGCCTACAATTTCATTCAGGTTTTGACTGGTTGATTGATTGAGTACTGACTATGTGTCAGGGGACACCTGGGTGAACAAGGCAGACTATTTCCTATTTCAGGTTAACTATGAGAAAATATTGATTTGGTAATACAATCTTTGCAGTGAATAAGTAAATTTTCATTTATTTGTTCATTTGCTCATGCAGTATTGGTCTATTTGCCCTTTGAATTCCCACAGCACTAAAAGTCATATGGTAAACAGAAATTGGATTAAAAATGCAAAACAGACGCACCTGGGTGGCTCAGTCGGTTGAGTATCCGACTCTCGATTTCAGCTCAGGTCATGATCTCATGGTTCATGGAATTGAGCCCTACCTCGGGCTCTGCATTGACAGCGTAGGGCTTGCTTAGGATTCTCTCTCTTCCCCACTCTCTCTGCCCCTCCCCCACTCTCGCTTTCTCACAAAATAAATAAATAAACTTAAAAAATGCAAAACAAAAGAGTTGGAGTGATTATTCCATTAATTTATGTTAAAATGCTTTCCTAAATTCAGATATTGTTCACCCTTTGTTAATAAATAAGCAGATAGAGACTGACAAAATTCTTTTATATTGCTATTAAGTGAAATGCACTTGTACCAAAGAGGGACTATGCTTCTGAAACACAGAGAAACCCCACAGTCAGCCCTGTTGATAGTCCTATTTGCCTCAGCATCAGGTGAGGAGCACCTGGTAGGCAGAGGTTCTAGGACCCAAGAGCCTAGCATGGAGCTCTAAGTCTATTTGGAAGCTTGTGGTACATGATATCCTTGCAGAATAAACACCTGTCACCCCTGGACCATGTGTGCACCAGGCTGTCTTGGCCTCAAGGGAATAGAGCTCCTGTCCTCAGGGAACCTGAGGTCTAGTAAAGCATGGATGAAGCCAGCTTCATCCAGGCACATGTACCTGGAGCCCATTCAAGCTCAAAGCAGTGGCACCTGCCTATCCTACCTAAGGTAATGGGCTGTCACATCTTGAAATGCAGGAGGCAGTTAGCTAGGTAGAGTAGTGTGGGAGGGCAAGGGAAGCCATGCAGAAGGGTCTGGGCCTCTCCAGAACATCCCAACTGACAGGAATAGGAGTTGGGAGGGGCAGCAGCTGACCTGGAGCAGAGTCTGGTCACTGCATTAGGATGTGGATTTCATCCTGTAAGGCAGCAGCTGGTGTAGGCTGATGTGGGGTGGTAATATTGAGGCTGGAGGAAGAGGGGAAACCCCAAGTCCCTTGTGACTGGAGGCATCCTGACACGTGACACAAAGGGCATTTTCTGGACAGGGTCCCAGATGCAGAGGACAGAAGGAGCCATGTGTGTTTTCTCTGTCTTGTTGGTCATTTCTGGGCTCTGTGCATTCTCTTACCAGGCTTCGCTGTGACCTTGTCCTCCAGAGACCAAGACACAGCCTTACTCTGAAATCTCTATGTGGAGAGCTAGTGGGACCTTTGGAAACATAAGCTTATCTCGTTTTCAAAACAGCATAAACTGGTTCATTTCACTTCTCTTAAGATAAAAAATAATGGTGTCTACTTTAATGGATTACAGATGTCCTTTTAGACATTATGGCTTTTGTTTTAGGATAGAGGAAGTGTCCTTTGGCTTTTACTAAATAGTTATTAGTAATTCACTTAACACAAATGTGAAATACAAGAATGGTAGCAGAATCTTCCCTGTGAATCAGGCATTCACTCAGTGAACAGTCTGGGCACTGCTAAATTAGACATCGTGCCTCTTCCATGTGGTTGGATCGGGGACACAGTACCTGCGTAGATACCTGTTCTACCTGGAGGGGGTGCCTCTGAGGGGAAGGTAGGTGCTGGGTGTCTGAAGGAGGGACCATCTGCTGGAGTGGCTTGGCTCATAAGGCTCTTGGCTGCTGCAGTATCTAACAAAAATGCAAGTTCAAGGACAGAGCTCTCCTGTGTTACTGCCCTGTCTCTTCCTTTTCATAAGATCAAATCACTTTGTCCAGAGAAGCTGCAGAGATATTTGGAGTATAGCAACAGAAAGTATGAGTGTAGTACTTGTTTGGACACGTCTGCTCTGCAGTGGGTGTTGTCATCAACTACACTTGGCCCAAGATACTTGGCGTGCTGTGGTGGTGCTATAGTGGGCCAGCAGCTTCAGTTTGAGGGCTGACCAGTGTGAGAGCATCTCCTAGGTAACAATGCATCTGCAGCACCTCCCAGTACTGAGCCTGTCACAAGCATAAGGGTGAATTAGAATCACCTGTGCATTCTGTGGAATTGTGCATTTATATGGCTCCAGAGACTTCAGAGATCCAAGTTCAAATGCCCTCTATTCACTTGGTAAAAATCTCACATTTTTTAAGCTGAAGAACTAGGACTAAATCCCAGATCTGATTTTTGGGTAAACTCTGCTAACTCTACATCCACAGGCGTTGCTGATGAGAAGGGGGCAGATATCGACAGACCAGGATATATTTAATTGAAGCATGTTTTTAAAAACATTAAAACTTAGAGACATATTTAAATTTTTGAAATTTTCTGTAGAATTAAAAAAAATTTTAATGTTAATTTTGAGAGTGAGAAAGCACGTGCATGAGTGGGGAGAGGGACAGAGGGGAGGGGGAGTCAGAGGATCCCAAGCCAGCTCTGCACTGTCAGCACAGAGCCCAGTGCGGAGCTCAAACTCACAAACCATGAGATCATGACCTGAGCAGAAGTCAAGCGCTTAACCACCTGATCCACCCAGGTGCCCCTGAAATTTTCTGTAGAATTAATTGTATACATTTTGGCTTATTAAACATAATGTAATCTTTTCCTGTTAAAGCAAGATAGTCTAAGCAAGATGTCAGCGGCTGAGCTGGATGTCTGAGAGGCTGAGGAACTTCTGTCAGTTACTCAAAGACCTCTTGACCTTGGGCATGACCTGGGGCATGGTCTTTAACCATCCTAAATTAAAGGTAGCATGAAAAGCAACCTCATAGTGTTGTCATGAATGGTGGTGAATAGCACTTAGCACAAGGCCTGGCATTTAACAAGCTATCAAAAAATTATAATTGGTGGCAATGATTCAGGTGATATAGTACAGTGGTGCTCTCAATAATTACTTATGCATGTTTTCTATATTTGTATTGAAATCCCTGGGTTTCTGGGCTATGTTCTACTTGATGATGAAGTCATTTCTGCACCGTCAGTTCTCAGTTTATATATACTTTTTTAAAAACTTTTTTTGGGGCTCCTGGGTGGCTCAGTCGGTTAAGCGGCCGACTTCTGCTCAGGTCATGATCTCACGGTCCCTGAGTTCGAGCCCCGCATCGGGCTCTGTGCTGACAGCTCAGAGCCTGGAGCCTGTTTCAGATTCTGTGTCTCCCTCTCTCTGACCCTCCCCCATTCATGAGCTGTCTCTTCCTGTCTCAAAAATAAATAAATGTTAAAAAAAAATTAAAAACTTTTTTTGTCATGGTAAAAATATATATTACACACAATTTACCATTTAACTGTTTTTAAGTGTACAGTTCTGTGGCATTAATTTTATTTACTAACCATTATTACCATCCACTTTCAGATTTTTTTCATCTTCCCCAACTGTGTATCTGCTTTAAAAAAAAAAAAATGGAGTTAGCATGTTCAAGATGGAAGGGTGGATTGGGGCCTTCTAAGTCTGTCCATGCTTCAGGGGACGGGGTTGACAGAAATTTGGCTGATGGTGACTATGGTGTGACCTTGAAGCCAGTTTGGAATGAAGCAAACAGATAGATGAGTGGATGGGGAGAAAAATAAATATATTTCTTAAATGGGGTATTATTACATTGCCAATTTATGTAGAAACAATCAATGTAAGTAGAATTTTCCCATCTGAAAGGTGTGCTCTGAATGTGAAACACTTTTTAAATGAGAAACCAAAAGATGGTCTCTGTATTAGTTTGCTAGGGCTGCCATAACAAAATACCACAGACTAAGTGGCTTATACCACAGAAATTCACTTTCTCACAGTTCTGGAAGCTGGAAGTCTAGGATCAATGAGTCCACAGGGCTGGTTTCTTCTGAACACCCCCTCCATGGCTTGTGGATGGCCATCTCTTCCCTTTATCTTTATATAATTGTCCTTTGCTGTGTGTGTCCAAATTTCCTCTTATAAGGATACCAGTCAGATTGTATTAGGGCTCCCCCTAATGACCTCATTTTAACTTAATTATCTCTTTAAAGATCCTGTGTCAAACATGGTCACATTCAGAGGTTCCGGGGGGTTAAGACCTCAACATATGAATTCTGGGGTGTGGGGCAGGGGGTTGTGGTGGTTATACAATTCAATTATAACAGTCTCTGAAGATCCTTCTGGTTCTAAAAATCCTCAGAATTCTCCCGAATTCCAGACGAAGTGGATGAAGCCAGGCAACTTGTGCCTTGGACGTGCACATTCCTCAAGGCACATGGTTATTGATAGAACATTATGAATGCAGCGCTGAAGTCCAGAGACAAAATGTCCTACCGTTTCTGAGCCATTCACATTACATTTTCATAGAGAGAAAGAATAACAAACAGAGACAGTGTATTTTAAGTGCACCCTCCTTGTCTGCCAAGAATAATCCTGTGTGCTGTGGAACTGAGTCCCTTCATGGCTATCCTGGATGCTGTATCTGCAGATGTCTGCCCTGGAAAAGGCAACCAA